GCCTGGCACCACACTTTTAAGGACCCAGAGTTGGAGGGATTTACTTTAGTCTTCCGTGCCTGGCCGGACTAGCTAAGATTTGGGTGTCAGCCTGGTGCTTAAGGCTGAGCTAGAGAAAAGGAGGAGCCAGAGGACTACTCCACTGCGGCCTGGAGGCCTAGGTGGCTTGGGAGGGTGTCCACAGGCTAGTGGATCCTCAAGCACATCATCATTTCAACAAGCACGTTAAGAAGGCAACAGAGCAGAGTACAGGGAAAAGCATGTGAGGACAACTTCCCAGAGTGCAGCCCACGGCCAGGGCTGCCAACCCCATGTCACTCACAGGCAGGGCTCACCTTCGTGATGGAGGCCCACAGCTGTCAATTTAAAAAATTATTTTTATTTTTATTAATTACAGTTTATTCACTTCGTATCCCCCCTGTATCTCCCTCCCTCTTCCTCTCCCCCACCTGTGCCCCTCCCCTTCCCTCTGATCCTAGTCTATCAGGTCTCATCAGGAGTGGCTACATTATCTTCCTCTGTGGCCTGGTAAGTCTGCTCCCCCCCCCCCCCCCAGGGGGAGGTGATCAAAGAGCAGGCCAATCAGTTCCTGTCAGAGACAGTCCCTGTCCCCATTACTATGGAATCCACTTGGGAGACTGAACTGCCATGGGCTAGCTCTGTGCAGGGGTTCCAGGCCATCTCCATGAGTGCTCCTTGGCTGGAGTATCAGTCTCAGAAAAGACCCCTGTGCCCAGATATTTTGATTCTGTTGGTCGTCTTGTGGAGCTCCTGTCCCCTCCAGGTCTATCTCCCACTTCTTTCATAAGATTCCCTGCACTCTGCCCAAAGTTTAGCCATGAGTCTCAGCATCTGCCTCGATACCCTGCAGGGTAGAGCCTTCAGAGGCCCTCTGTGGTAGGCTCCTGTCCTGTTCCCTGTTGTCTCCCTCCTCCGATGTCCATCCTCTTTGCCTTTCTGAATGGGGACTGAGCATCTTAGCCAGAGTCCTCCTTCTTGATTAGCTTCCTTAGGTGTACAGATTTTAGTGTGTTTATCCTATATGTCTAATATCCACTTATGAGTGAGTATATGCCCTGTGTGTCTTTCTGCTTCTGGGGTATCTCACTCAGAATGATCTTTTCCAGATCCCACCATTTACCTGCAAATTTCATGATTTCCTTTTTTTTTTTTAATTGCTGAGTTAATATTCCATTGTGTAGATGTACCACAATCACTGTGTCCATTCCTCCACTGAGGGACACCTGGGCTGTCACAGCTGTCATTTGATGTATCTGTCACCTTGCGCCCCAGCCCATGACCCTGGTGACTGATGACTGATGGCGACTGTCCTCTACACTCCCGACTGGGCCCTCTCAAACCTCAGAGGAGCATTCCTAGGTTGTCTAGTGTTGGATGGTGGCTTTGAGCCCGTCAGCACCCCTGCGAAGGCTGGCCCACAAACTGCTTTCCACTCCTCTATTTGGCTTTCTCCTGCCTGCTCTCTGTGCCTCATTGGGCGTCTCCCATTTTCCAGATGGACAGTGGCCCTGGGAGCACACCCCACTGAGGGCGAAGACTCTCCCTAGGGGCCATACAGTTCTGAAGCCTTAACACTCCGGCTTCCGCCGTGGGCCTTCCAGTTTGCCCGGCACCAAACTTGTCTTTTCTGTAATGTTTTTGGCATCTCTGCCAAGAATCATACGGTTACAACTGTGTGAGTTTATCTGTGAGCCCTCTATTCCATTGGTCTACCTTTGGGCTTTGTGCCAGGCTGCCTGCTGGTTTGGTTACTACAGCTCAGCTGTGTAACGTGAAAGGGAACATTGTATCTGCAGCGTTGTTTCTCTTTGCTTCAAACTGCTTTGGCTATTTGAGAACTGTTGTTTGCATTTTGAGATTTTTTTTTTTAAATTTCTGGGAAGAATCTCATTGGAATTTAGTAAGGATTGTGCTATGTAGTATGTTCATTTCTACAACAGCAACTCTGATCCATGACTTATTGGAGGCTTTGTTTTTTAAATTTTTTTCTAATGTCTTTGCCTGACTTCATCTTTTTCCTATATTCCTTTTCTTCCATCTTATTGCCCTGGCCAAACTTCTAATGCCCTGGCCATTTTGAAGCAATAGTGAGAACAGACATGCTTATCTTATTCAGTTTTTCCCTATTTCGTGCATGGTTAGTTATCATTCTGTCATATACAGCTTTTGTTTTCTTTACTTGGTTTGAGAATATAATGAAAATTTGTATTTTTAAATTTTTTATTACAATTTATTCACTTTGTATTCCAGCTGTAGCCCCCTCCCTCAGTCCACTGTTAGGGGAGATCCTCCTCCCCTTCCATCTGACCCTACCCTATCAGGTCTCATCATGACTGGCTGCACTGTCTTCCTCTGTGGCCTGGTACAGGTGGTGACCAAAGAGCCAGACACTGAGTTCATGTCAGAGACAGGCCCTGTTCCCCTTACTAGGGTACCCACTTGGACACTGAGCTGCCATGGGCTACATCTGTGCTGGGGGTCTCCATGCATGGTCCTTGGTTGGAGTATTGTGTGCCCAGATTTTTGGGTTCTGTTGGTCTCCTTGTGGAGCTCCTGTCCCTTCCAGGTCTTTGTGTCTCCCCCTTCTTTCATAAGACTCCCTGCACTCTGCCCAAAGTTTCGCTATGGGTCTCAGCATCAGCTTCAATACCATGCTGGGTAGAGTCTTTCAGAGGTCCTCTGTGGTAGGCTCCTGTCCTGTTCTGTTTTCTTCCTCTTCTGATGTCCGCCCCATTAGCTTTCTGAGTGAGGATTGAGCAACTACACTAAGTTCCTCCTTCTTGTTTAGCTTCTTTAGTGAAAGACCCCAGCCTCACCCTAAGTTAAACATAGCTAATGCCATTTTGTGAGACACCACTGTTTTGTAAAACTCTGAAGGCCAGATGAGAAACTGAAAAATTACTGAGAAATCCTAACTGTGTCACCCACTTGGGATATCTGTGGTCAGGCTGCCCCAGTCATACTAAAAACAGTTTGTGTTAATCACTCTCATAGATATCTGTGAGACTGTTTCAGCTAAGATAGGGAAAAACAAAATAACAGGTGGCGGGCCACGTCAAGGGGTCATCCTACCCCCCTTGACCACCCAGTTCCTGGAATCTTGGTGCCCCTGCCAAACTTTGACGCAAATTGTGGTCTCGTGTAAATGTACCAATCAGCCCCCTGTAACCATGCCCTCTCGCTTCTGTACCAGTGCTTCTGCCTCTAAAACCCTATAAAAACCCCAGTTTTTCCCCAAGCAGGCGCGCAAGGTCCTCCCGAGTGACCTTGCTGCCCCGAGTACTCGTAAATCAAAATAAAAGCCTCTTGCTGTTTGCATCCGAATGGCCTCGTTGATCCTTGGGAGGGGGTCTCTCTAACGGAAGATACCCTCCGGGGATCTTTCATTAGGAGTATAGATTTTGGTATGTTTATCCAAAAAATTGTTAAAGGCTCTTCTGCACCAACCGGTATTTTATTTGTACTTTACTATATTTGCTTATGTTGGGTCATCCTTAATTTCTGCAATGAGACCAACTTGATCATGACACACACACACACACACACACACACACACACACACACACACACACACACACGATTAAATGTAGCTCTAGGTGGCCTAGAATTAAATAGTTGAGAGTGACCTTGAACATCAATGTTGGGATTAAAGGCATGTGACACCAAGCCTGGATATTTACATTTTTTGAGGGTTTTTACATTGGTTTGTCAGTTATTTTCATCTCTACCTATAAAATCATAATGTTGACTATGTCCTTTCTGTTCACACCTCTACTCTCAGCAACCTTCCCGTTGGCAGATTCTAATCTGCCTCTCTGAAGCCATGGTCCATTTAAAACTAGGGCTCCTTAACTTTGCATGCAGTGTGGTTCAGGATAGAGTTGAGAACTGTATTTGATTTAGAAGGCAATGTTGTTTTTTTGCTCCAAAGAATTCTTCCTTCTTGACTAAAATCTCAAAAAACAAATCCAAAAAAAAAAACAAAAAAACCAAAGTCTCAAATAGTGTGAAACAGTAACATTCTTAAACAGAAGCCACAGAACAAAACATACTTAATAGAGCTTTAAACAAGTCTACCTTCTTAATGTCAGTATGACAAGAGGCCCAAAACAGATGCTGTTCTTACAGAAGTCACACTAGGCATGAGCTTTGTGAGTCACTGTTAGCCCAAAGCTGCCCTTCAAAATGGTAGCACTGATGACAATGCCCTAAACAGAACTTAGGCTGAGTAAACAAGGATTGTTACTGGGTAAACAGAGGCTTAAAGGTGGGCTTCTATTAAGCCTCTCTTAATCTTGTCCCCAAAGGTCAACTACCTTAGGCAAGGACATCTGGTTCCCTGTCAATATTAACAGCCTTTATCAGTTTAAAGACCCCCACCCTGTGGACTGTTATATAAAAATCTCCTGCCTTTCCATCATTTTGTTCCTTCTGGACTCTGCTGCCTCCCTGATAGCCTTGGCAGTATGGTTCCCAATAAACTCTTCTTTCTACCCATGGAGAAAGAAGTCCAGCAGTTCAGTGGTTTCACTGCACTCAGAGCTGTCATGGAAGAATGAACTTCAGCTAAAGATGCGTAAGAAGAATTAAGATCAAAGGATACTAGTCAGCGTATTTAAGAATATCAAATACCCCAAAAAGCCATTGTGTGAAAAGCTCGAAGAAGAGTGTAGCAATTGGCACTTATGTGGAGGAGAAAGGGACTCTACTTGGTTTTAGGCATTTTTGTTTGTTTGTTTGTTTGTTTGTTTGTTTTTTGAGACAGGGTTTCTCTGTGTAGTTTCCCAGTGGATGTTACTGGAGTCTTCCTTTAGAACCTCATCCACAAACAAACAAGGTGTAGAAACTTTAAGGTATTTCAAAGGTATTACAGGCTTCTTGTACTTTATTTGAGTTATTTTCAAATGACAGTTACAAAAGCTTTTAATTTTTATAATACTCTTCATAAGAAAATAAAATTTAAATAAAAATACATTCTCAACAATACAACATGGTTACACAAATTCACTATATTATGTTTGATAACTTACATTTTCAAACTAGAGACTGTAAAAACCAATATTTACTAACAACACATTAATTTCCAAGTTAAAAATGGAAGCAGGTAACATCAATTAAGATCAGTAATTTAACTCTAGAATGAGTTTTTAATTTGTCACATATGTGAGGACACAAGAAAGCTCTGCAGAGTCTGTCTTTATAGGCCATTCAACAGTATTTTTAAGCAAATTAGAAGGTGCGTTCACTTAAAAGAAATATGTTCTTTAAAACCTGGCTTGAATGAGCTTTTCCTGTAAAAGAATGAAATCAGGCCTTGGAAACACAAACAAAAGCCACAGCCATCAGTCATATGATATTTTCTGTTGGTAAAATAAGCCCAGTTTTGACTCAGCTATTACCCGTGATATTAAAAATGTATTTCTTTGGTAAACAAAATAGTTCGACTTCTAAATTATATTCATGGGAGTAAAAGCCTTTGCTATTGCCCATTGTCTTATCAGATGACGATTTTAAAACAAACTAAAAATACATAACAGATCAGCACAATCTCCATGGGTGGCCACAGCTCCACCAGGAGTCAGAGTTGTGACTGTCTATGGTAACAGTCTCTCCCTATCACCCTCTTCTGTCCTTTCTGCATACTCCAGGTTTTCAGGGAGAGGAGGTGAGCTGCCATATGTGTCTATACATTTTCTAAATGCTCTTTGTAAAACGTAGAGAAAGGAGACCATGGAGTTAAGACTCAAAAGTACTCAAGAGCATAACAAAGGAGAAGGCTACTAGAGGAGCCTTGATTGTCATGGGGTCCTGTGGACATGATTTCTCACTGAAAAAGACTTAATCTAAAAAAAAAAAAAAAAGACATTAGTTTTATTTTTCTCTTTTTACATTGTGCCAAGCTGGCCAATTAATTTCACTCAAGTTGGCTGTGTAAAGGGTCTTATGAGTAAAAGAACTAGAATGTTGAGCTCTCAAACACAGAGTCATACATGTACACAGCTTTGGCCCCTTTGACCCTATGATCATTAAAAATATTTGTACAGGCAGCACAGTGGTGCACGCCTGTAATCCCAGCACTCGGGGAGGCAGAGGCAGGCGGATCTATGTGAGTTTGAAGCTAGCCTAGTCTACAAAGTGAGTCCAGGACAGCCAAGGCTACACAGAGAAACCCTGTCTCGGAAAAAAAATGTAACGAGTGTGGTATTAGAAATGTTAGCGCTGGATGCAGTGGTGCACATCTTTAGTCCCAGCGCTCACGAGACAGAGGCAGAGGCAGGTGGCCTCTGTGCGTTGCAGGCAGGCCAGCCAGGGCTTGTCTCAAAACAACAAGAAATCCTTAGGAAGTAGTTCCTTTTATTATTTTTTGGGGGGAGGCGGTAGAAAAAAACCCAAACAAAACAACCAAAAGAAGATTCAAAACCACTCAAGAGTCTTGAACTCTGACTAGTAGGTAGACATTTTGGAGAATCTAAGTAAGAATTTTAATATTAAGTTCATGAGAAATTTATTAAATGATAAAGTTAATCTACAACAGTGTAGTTAATGGGATCTGTAGGTCTGTCAGAGTAAAGGACTCTTCTAAACTCTAGTATGGGCCTGGAGCCACAACTAAGCACGATGTAGCCCAGTACTGATTTTTAAAAGTCATTTAGAAAAATTTTTTTTCCAAGTCATGATTTTTAATGGGACAACTCTCTGTGTTAATGACCTTTAAAAATAATTACCTAATAACAAAGTAAAAATAAGTACCCAGCAACAACATAATTGGTAAATAAAATCTGAAATACAGCTTAAGCTCAACAAAACAGAACATCACAGCTAGTTAAGACTTAAACCAGTAAGTCACAGTTTTCAACAGGAACATATGTAAATACCCCAAGGTTCAAAGTACCACACTTAGAAAATGTTTTGAATTAAAAAAGACAAGTAAGTACCATGTTTTTTTAATACTGATGAAGCCAAGTGTATCACTCCTCTTCAGGGTAGCACTTGCTTCAACTGCTTATTTACAGTTATGTTTTTTTTAGGACCAAAGTAGAGAAAGGAAAAACATTTGGCTAGCAGGCAATAAGGAACAGCAATAAAATATAAACATTTTCAGGAAAGCACTGTTCTAGATTTAAACACTGATCATTCAACTGATCATAAAAAGACAGATACCATGGAGTATCTAACTACAATCTGGAATGTGCCAGATTATTAAAGTGCGCCAAGTGACTGTTCTTGAGTTAGAGCAGGACCTAACACTATGGTGGGCATCCTTACACACCTTATTATGACATCAAACAGCAGACAAGGTCAAGTGAAGTTCTCACTACCTTCTTCACTATTTCTCTTCTGGTTGGGAAGAATTGCCCTCAGGAGTAACGTTAAACTGAATTCTCAAATTAAGAAAATGAGTACCTGATATTTAAAACAATGGAGAACATCTTAGTGGTCTCATTTTGTTTCATCTGTCACTACTCATTGCAAATGTAAACATGGTGCACACAGGAGCACACATTCCCTGATCTCTATCTGAGCACTCTTACACCTGTGACCAGGCGAGACATCCACCACTGAGGTCTTCGTCTCTGTCTCTAACCTGTAATGGCTGACACAACAGAGGAAAAGGTTTTTGTTTTTGTTTTTTTTCTTTTTTTAAAGATGGAGGGTCCAGATGAACTCAAAAGTTCTGAATTGACAAGGAACTAGAATTTTCTAGTGAAACACAAGGTTGGCAGTATATTGCAGGCACTAACGGTAGTGAAAGTGAATCCACACAACAGATTGCTACTGGTGGAGATGGGTTCTGACTATGAAGTGCTCCCTTTATTGCAAAGCTTCTTAGGAACCTTCTTCAGAAAGATTCTATCAAAAGGAAGTTGCAGAGACATGGATTCGGATGCATGGATACCAAGAAAATCTTGGGTTTCATATTCTCTAGTAATAAACTCATCAATATCAGGATTCCCAAAAGTTAATTTGTTAAATATTAAATACAATATGAAAGCAGGTGTCATCAAAGCCAACGTCCGCTCTTACATACTAAGAACAAAACAAGGTGAATTGAAAAACTCCATGAAAAAGTCTTTTCCAGTCCTCCATCAGTTGGTCAAACTATGATATTTTCCCACCTATTGGATTTTCCCTACAAAACAGTAAAAGAAAAATTATCTTTAAAAGAAATATACAAATTAAAAACGTGACACATACAGAACCTATAAGGCACTTTACTTTTCTCTGATCTTTTGTGCTGAATCTTGTTTTATTAATTCGACAAGTAATACTGATTACTCCCCACATTGCAGGTACTACTCTAGAAGCTAAGGGTGCTGTACTGAACAAAACAGACACAGACTACATGGAGCTGATAGTATGGGAAAAGAAAATAAGCATAATATTTAGTGTAAGAGGGTTTGTCTGTTCACGATTGCCTCCTCTGCCCTCTCCCCCAGTGCTAGGAACCGTATGCTGGGCAACCACACGAACACCAAGCTCTTTTCTCAGCCCAAGTCCGTCCCCCGCAATCAAAGAAAGGAAACATGTATGAAGTGCCCCGCAAGGGGCAGTGGGCAAGAGTACCTCCAGCAACTGAGCTGATGTACTTAAATAGAGAAAACTAAAGCTGGGCAGGGTATGGTATGCATGGATGATGAGGTATTAGTTAAGGATGGTCGTGTGCCTTGGCTATGAACTTTGAAGGACTCCAGGAAAACTAGTTTAACTATTGTTGGACAAGACTCAGTTATACTAATGAAGAAAATAAAGAATTAGGACATTTACAACCTTGTAATGTACTAAGCTTTCTACCAATGAAGAATGTATTTAAACCAATAAAACTGATTTTTCTTTTTAAATTCAGAAACACAAAAGTAGTAACTGACATAGTTTTCAAAGGCTGTTTAAAATAGGGCAACACGGCTTTAGATCCTCCCACTGATGGTGTAGGATCCTGGGCAAGGCATTCACTTTCCTGGTATTTCAATTTTCTACCTATAAAGCGGGAATGAAACCATGCTAGGCTGATATGAGGATCAACAACAGAGGAGCACACCCTGTGGTCCAGGAACCAAACCTTCCCAGCCCACTGCATTACTAGCAGGACCCTGACCATGCTCAGGTCCTGTGTCAGGGAAGGCTGGGGTTACTCTAGGCAAGTCCCTTTCCCCTCAGTACGGAGGAAATAGCCTTTTTAGAAAAGACAGTGGGGCTCTGCACTACTGCGGCTCATGTGATACCTAAGAGAAAAGCTTCAGGACTGACATGCTCTTAGTTGTACACAGTTCCCAGTGACAGTGCTCAGCTGCTGCATTAACTGTGTAAGTTTGGTCTTCCCTCAGGAGTACTGGCTGTAATCTAAGCACGGGGAGGAAGGGAAGCAATAAAAGTGTCCAATGCTGGCTGTGGCATCCTGAGAGGAACAGGTCCCACTGCTGCTGTCCTAACCCATCTCACTCTCTTCATCTGAGACGAAGCACTTGAACTGAACTATCACATGCTTTATGTACTGTTATGGCTTATGTTTTTTGTATTCATTATAAATGTAATGTGTTGTGAGAAATAAAAAGGAGACAATAAAAACAAAAAAGAAAAAGCTACTGTTCTTCAAGAAGTGAATTACAACTATGACATTCAAAGCAGTGATGAAGTACAGTACTGACACGCAAGGCCAGCTGAGCTGAACACGACAAGGAGGGGGTGGCAGAGAAACATGTACTCCACAAGAGGCCAGGCCCTGACAGATGTGGGAGCAGCGGTCTGAGGGTACTTACTTGCTTCCATATTTTGCACTACTTGATCTTTTCTTTCTGTATTTCTCGTGAGGCTCATCTAACTTCTCTATGATGCTTTTTATTTGCTGGATTGTCTTAAAGGTGGTAACAGAATCCTCAATGGTGAAGCTGGAATCAAAAGGCTCTTTCTGTGGCCCTTGATAGACTGCTATTGTCCCACAAGCCTCTGTAAGGAGCAGCAAAACCTTTAATCAGAAAACCAAATTCCACAGATGCCATCTGCAATATAACTAAAAAATTTGTCAAGTTTTAAGGGGAGATTTTCTTTGACAAGAAAATTTGACAAGATTTTCTTTGACAAGAAAATTTGACAAGATTTTCTTTGACAAGGTGGCTATAGCATAACAATTTTATTAAACAGAACTATCACATTCACATAAGAAGAGTAATTTTACTTCATGAATAGGTAAGATAATGCCTCCTCCTTTGAGGGTTTGTTAACTTATCAGTAACTTAGTAAATCTATAAATATATTCAACTTCTTAAAAAGTCAAATAAATAACCCAGAAATTATTAATGAAAGATCACGGTTTTATAAAATTGTATTTACCTTCCATTTTCTGCAGCTTAAGTAAACTGAGGGTAAAAAGAGAATAAACTCTTTCGGTTTCTCTATCTTCATCGATATCTATCTGGATATCTGCAGGGATACCTCTATGAGAAAAAGAAAATTAAAGAGATTGGAAAAGGGCTGGAGAGATGGCTCAGAGGTTAAGAGCACTGGCTGTTCTTCCAGAGGTCCTGAGTTCAATTCCCAGCATCTGGTGCCCTCTTCTGATGTGTAGGTCTGCATGCCGTCAGAATACTGTATAAATAATAAATAAACCTTAAAAAAAGGATTGGAAAAAATTTTTTTGTTAACATGAGAAAGATTTTTGATGAATTGAGACTAAAACTAGAATTAGAATTTTGCACAAGGGATCTCAGAAATTAGTTTCTGAGATAGTTCGAAAGGATCACAAGGTTTTGTTGTTAAGGACTCAAATCCTGAAGAGGATTTTGAAGTAAAATCATTTTAAAAAATATTTTTTATTGTGTATGTGTGTATCTAGATGTGCACGTGTTCACATGTGCATGTATGTGTGTCCTGGGGCTAGAGTTACACGGGTTCTGGAACTAAAGAGCAGCAAGTATTTACTACTCTCTCTAGTCCTAATAAAAACATTTTTTATAATCTCTGGTTCTTCACAAAATAATGCATTAATAACAAAATCTATAGGGCTACAATGGCTAATCTACATATCTAAAACCAGAATGTTTAGTGGACTTCTTTGACACAATTTAAAAAAAGATTTCTATCTGTGTGTGTGTGTGTGTGTGCGCGCGTGCATGCGCGCTCGCTCACGCACATGAGTGCAGACATCTGAGGAAGCCAGAGGCACTGTATACCTTGGAGTTGGAGATATAGTTAGTTGAGAGCTGCCTAATGTGAGTGCTGAGAACCAAACTTGGGTCCTGGGCAAGAGCCGTAAGTGTTCTTAACAGCTGAGCCATCTCTCTATGTCTTTATCTTGCTCAGGCTTGAGATGCTGATTCTTCTTCTTTTAATGATGTTGAGCACGGAGTGGGCATTGCTTATACTTGGTGAATGCTCTACTATCAAGCTTCAATCTGGCGCTTCAGACTTGTGCAGCAATCTAAACCCCTCCCACCACATGAATAACCATGATTAATTTCAGAATATTTTCATCAGCCACAAAAAAACCTTTGTACTCATCAATCTCCATTCGCCCATCCATCTAGAGCCTGGCCACCACATTTTGTGTCTCTGAATTTACTTATTATATATACATATATTATTTTTTGTGGTACTAGGAACCAACCGAAGTACTTGTGTGTGTCATGCAAACACTCTACCACTAGGCAACAACCCAAACCCTTCCAGACACTTTTTATAAAAAAATGTTTTCAAACCGTATGTAGCCTTTATGTCTAGCTACTTTTACTTAGCATAATGTTTCATATCCATATGTACTACATTGGCAGACATCTTGACTCATTACTTTTATCAGAAAGGGACTTACGCAGTACACGGCTTGCAGCCTGGGGTGTTTTCACTCGTCTCCTGGCAGCAGAGCCAGTTTCCGTTGAGATACGCTGAAGGATGGAAAGAACTGAGCCTGTTGTGGTTGCACCTGCTCACCCTGCACAGCACGTCTATCCACTCGTTGGCTTCCACACAGTTGTTCGCTTGGACGTAGAGTGTTTTCTCCGTATGGATCACTTGGAACATCTTTATTGGCAATTAAGATAAAAGTTAGAAGAGCCTTAAAAGCAACACATAGTACATACACAGAAAAAGCAGTTAGAAAGACACTAAGTTTGCTTGGCTAAGAAATGGCTGCAAATGTGTCTTAATGAATTTGGCAGGTCAGTGCAAAAGACCACCTTAGTTAATGGTTCTAAACACTAGAACAATATAAACTGTAGATGCCATACATGTCAAAGGAATGGGCCACTGTCTGAATAAGAACAAAGAAGTGATTTTAGATGTAGGAGGAAGTATGAGGAAAGACAAAGCAGTGAGGAGACAGTGAGGATGGAGGACGCCATCCTGGTGACCATCCTGCACTATCTCAGTGGCAACAGAGTGACAGACACTAAAGTAACTTTCACATGCTGATTTAAAATGCTTTTAACATTTATACAACTTACGTTTTTCTTGCCAAAAGAGCTTTCTTCCAGTTTTTCCACAGCAAGAATATTTTTTACTGGAATAGTGTAAATTGCATCTTTGCCTAAAAAAAAAAAAAAAAAAAAAAAAAGACAAAACTAAAAGAATTGCTGTAATAATTATAATTCTGTAAGGTTAATTCTGCTTGCTGATAGAAGCATACGTATCTACAGTAGACTTCTGGATGGCTTGTATATAATAATATAGAACAGGAATTTTGACTGCTTTCTATAAAGCATATAGATGAAAACATTTTTAAGGAAAAACATGTGAATAAGTTTGATCTTTATACAGAAAATTATTTTCTATGCTATTATTAATTTGTAACACTAATTATATAAAAGCTGAAAGAACTAATGCACCTAGTGATAAAGAGACATGAGAGGCCCAGGCGTATGATTACGACCTAAGCAGTAAATATGACTATTAAAGTAGATTCTTTTCTGGTTTGTAAACTTAACTTTAATTAAAAAATTAGCCCTCAAAACAAACAAACAAACAAACAAAAATCTGTGTGTGCACGTGTGCAAGGAACCAAACCCAAGGCATAATGCATGTTAGGCAAGCTTCCTAGCACTGATCTAAAACATGCTTTCTTTTATTATTTTATGTGCGTAGTATTTTCCCAGCATGTGTGTGTACCACATGTGTGCCCAGTGCGCTCAAAGGTCAGAAGACGGCTTTGGATTCCCTGGGACTGGAGTTACAACTACATGGGTGCTGGAAATTGAACTCAGGTCTTCTGCAAAAAACACGTGCTTTTACCAATGAGACAACTAGCCAGCCCTGTCTCTTACGGCTGTCTTGGAACTCAATATGTAGGACAGGCTGGTCTTATACTCAGAGATCCACAATCGCTCCTCTCGGATGCTAGGATTAAAGGTATGATGTGCCACCACAACTAACATCGTTCAAATTTTTAAAATTAATTTTAATTTAAGTTTGCATGTATATAGGTACACACACGTACTATAGCACATGCGTGGAGTACAGGACAACCGACAGAAGTCATTTGCCCCCTCTCCCATGTGGGTCCCAGACACTGAACTCCTTATCAATCTTGGTAGCAAGCACCTATACCCTCTGACCCAACTTGCCAGCCCCAAAGCATGTTTTAAATATAAACTTATTTACAGCCGCCACATGTTGGCCAGCTGCTAGCCAATACTACAAGGTTATCTTAGGAGATGCTGGGGGCAAAGTGAGAATTTTTCCAGCAGACAGAATCTTTTAACCCTTTATGGGTTTTAAAACTTATGCAAGGAAATTTCAGTGTGTTAAAGGACCTCCTCTAACATGGTGTAAGATGAGCCTGGGTTACTGTTATCATATCCAGTTATAGAAGTTAGTGATAAATAGTTTTGACTTCTAGTCATTTTGTGATGGTGTTTTCACAGCATCAATACTTTTATTTCTACTTCTTCCTCAAGTCTTTCTTTAAGAACACATGGGTTATAATACAGGAAGATAAGAACATTCTATTTTATACTACTCAAAGGATTAATGCTGTGAGTTTTTTTCTTTTTGACAAAAAACAGGTTATCTGTGATTTTGTTTTTACCGTGAATAAAGACATTAGTACAAAATAGTTGTTCAATTAATTTCCTGGTACAAAGCGCAGAAGTTAAGGTAATTCAAATAAATGTGACATGATTTTTAAAAGATATATACTAAATGTCTAGAATATGCTAGGTACTGTTCTAATAATTAAAGACAGAACAACAAACAGAAAACAGGTCCCTAGTAGAATTTATATTGATTCCTGAAAAGACCAGCAGAGAAATATTAACTAGAGATGAACACTATGATGAAAATAAATTGAAGTGACGTAACAGAATGTAACTGGAAAAGATTATCAGCAGCCTTCTGGAAGCAGACAAGATAAAACTTATGTGGATATAAGGTAGGGCAGGAAGGGGGCAATGATGAAAGCCACAGATAGGAGAGTGGTTAGGGAGAGCGGCAAGCCAGCAACAGTGGACACCGAGGGCTAGAACTAGAGAGGCTCAGGCATATCAGGATGACTAACAGATGAGCTCCATCTGGAATGGCGGAGCCAAACACCCACATGCTAATGCAGCAGGCCGCAAGCTGGGTTGCAGAGCAGTGCAATGGCATAACTTGCCTCTCCCTCATGATCATTGTGAGGATGTTACTGAACCCCATAGTAGGTAAATGAATTGTAAAACACAAGATGAGCGAATTGCCAATGCGATTACCAAACAGATAAGGAAAATCAGCATTCTAAAGGAGAGACTCACATACAGAATACCACCTGAGGAAATCATAATATGATGAATTGGGTAGCAACCTACACAGGACATCAGAGGGTCTAGCCAGAGAATTAAAAAATATTCTCTTTAAACTTGTTAAGTATCAAAACATGCCCACACCTTAAAGCGGCTGTATTTACCCACTTTGGGACAGATTCTGATACTGCAAGTGTTAGATGCTCCCAGGAACAGTGCACCTGTTCTTACACCATGAGAGCAAATTTCAGTTAACCATGATAGTGAGAGGAAGTTACAGTATGAGTTAGAAACAAAAGATCTTCCCAAGAAGTTTCCAAAACTACAACACAGAACTTAGTACAACTTAAGCTCATAGGACTTAGAAGTGTTGACAAGTGACTAAATGCCCTTAAGAAAACAATAAGGGATCTTTAAATGGAAAGAGCTACCAAATGTTGGACAGGAACAGAAGAAAAAAAGAAAAATGCCTAAACTACGGGCCATAAAATAACAAAACTTACTAAAGATATGAGTTTCCATAGATAAGAATCAAAACTCTGAGAAACAGACTGCTATAAAAATTGTCATCAGCAACAACGAAGCCAGAATATAGATATGAAATGTCTACAGCACCTGTTATTCCCAGGTGCTAACCCGCCTGGGGTCCTGCTTAGTTTCTGAGATAAGACTGGAACGCTAAGGTGGTATGGCCACAGGCCATACCACCGTACTGTATCCTAAAGTTCTGAGGAAGAATGAGGATCATTTAACAGTAAGGACAAACCTGTTTTGGTACATGTAAGGACTCAAACAGCAACGATAACAACGACTTATTTTGAAAATTCCTCAAGAAATTCTTCCTGTAAATTTGTAAAAAATCCAGGAAAAAAGCCAAGTTGTGTAAGAAATTATGTTGGGTAAAGAAGTGAGGAAAATCATTGAAGCATAATGTAAAAGAGACAAAGTGCTCTATTGCATGGACAGAACACATCCACCAGTGGTGACATTAGACTGGTTCCAGGTTTGGCGACTGTAAATAACACTCACCTAAACCTTCACTGAACGTGTCTTTGGACATCTGCTCTCATTTGATTTGGGGCAGATAACCAAGCACATAACTGGTAAGAAATATGTATAGTTTTATGGATAATCATTTGGTTTTTCCCCGACCCCTCACTCACAGTTAACTTTTTGAGAACTTGGCAAAATGCTTCCCAAAGTGACTGCACTTCTATAGTCTTGCTAGAGATGTAGGTTTCCACTCACCTATGTTCTCAACTATGTCTCACCTCTTCTTAAAAAAAATGTTTGTAAGGACTCACCAACAACCTTGATGTACTAGGCAAATGCTCTACCACTGAGATACATCCCTACTCTTATTCACTGTAAATATTTCTGTTGTAGTAAAACAGTACCTCAGTGTAGTTTTAATATTCTCTTCATGGGTTTATTAGCCACCTGTATGTCTTATTAATGTTTACTGCCCTTTAAGTAAAACAAACAAACAAACAAAAAAACCTGAATATAAATTCTATCATATTAAAATTTGAAAGTATTTTTTTCCAGTTTTATCTTTTCTGTGTGTGGGTATATTTTACTCAAATGTATATGTATGTGCCTGGTGCCCACAGAGCTCATAAGAGGGTGTCAGGTCCCTTGGAACTAGAGTTACAGACGGTTATGAGTTATTCTGTGCATGCTGGGAACTGAACCTGGATCCTCTGCAAAAGCAGCCAGTGCTTGTCTCTTTAGACTCTGAAATATTTTCTTCTAGTTTGCTGTTATCTTTTCATTTTCTTAATGGTATCTGTTTTTTTTTTTTTTCTTGTGTGTGTATGGTATGTCTGTGTGTTTGTAGGCGCATACATGTGGATGCCTGAAGTTGATAGAGCATATCTCCCTCAGCAGTTCTCCACTGCTCTCAGGGAGCACGGCTCCTCACGGGGTCTGGAGCTGCACAGTTCCAGTTAGTCTAGTCAGCTGACTCACCCTGGGAGTCTTCTGTTTTGAACAGTGATTAAGTCCAATTTGTTAGTATTTTTCTTTCGTGGACTACACCTTTGATATACACGTAATAAATCTGCCTAACCTAAGTCTTAAAGACTTTCCTTGTTGGGGCTGGAGAGATGTCAGTGGTTTTAACCACTGGAGTCCCATTCTTTCCAGCACCCATGCGGCAGCTTACAAACACCCACAACTCTAGTTCCTGAGGACCCAGTGCCCTCTTCTGGCCTCCTTGGGCACCAGACATATATGCATGCAAAACACTTCGTCATACACATAAAAAGGTAAAAAAAAAAAAAAAATTCCTTGTTAATGTAAATACTTAAAACAATCAATTTTCATTCATTCAGTACTGCTTTAGCCATATTCTACCAACTTTGCTGAATCTGTTTTATTTTAAAGTACTTCTGAATTTCTTTGAACTCTAGGTTATTTAGAAGCATATCAACTTCCAAATATGTGCAGAGGGGCATTCCTAGATATCATATTATTGTAATTTTAAGAGAACATTTTATAGAATGTTAACTTTTGGTATGTACTAAAACTTGGGATTCAGTTTAGTTTGTTAAATGCTCCAATCTGACTGAAAATATTATGTATTCTCTTTGTTTGATTTTATGTTCTATACATGTGAATCAGATCAAGGTAACTGAGTATGTTGTTTCATATTTCTATACTTTTGTTGATTTTCTTTTTTGCCTATTTTCATAATTACTTAAATTATTTAAATATTATAGTCTGTTTTTCCCCTGACACATTAACAAGCTGTAAACAAGCATACAAACATTCAGAACATTAATTTTGCTTGTGAAGGCTCTTTTTATCATTC